ATCTCGATACTTGACCCTTTCTCTACTGGTATTTCTCCCAGTTGTCAGGCACCTGCACCTGTCAAGAAATATATCAACATCAAATGTTGTTTGTTTATTGTCCCGTTTAGCATGGATTTTAATTGATTTACAATCTAGGTAGGTACAATGAATTACGTTGAATTAGGAAAGGAGTGTTTAAATTATCAGGCGACCCTAATCAGCTGATGATCGGGAAAATTACACTTTTTTCTGCGCATCATTTAAACCACTGTTCGAGCGAATGATACAAAGTAATACTGCTATTAATTGGGTCTTGTTTTGCCTTTGTCTACGTGATAAAGGCTATTATCAATGACCCCCCAGGAGACGTATGACCCCCACTGGAAGCGCTTTGATATAAGTAAAGCACTGCTCATGTCACCCAACCAGTTGAATATTGACTGTACCTAATTGATATTAACAACATTTAAATTTATTAGCTTAGGCTACCCAAATATCCAATACCTTAGTGCTTCTTGTGTGTTTTACGTATAAAGTTGGAAAGTGTACTGAAAAGAGTTTGGTTTTGACTATTTACAAGTGATATTCTTTCTCCTCAATCTGGCTGCTGAGAGAGGAATGCTGAGGTCCCCTAAAGACTGTCTAGGACTGCGTGTTCGTCTTAATTCCCTGCATCAAACCTGGAAGTGGTTGCACCAGACCATCAGCCTTCACGACTATCTGATCTCTCTAACTTCAGCGTCTAAAAACGTCTGTTTACAACACAGCTTGACACACTGAGCCACTTTTTAGGGCACAACACCTACGAAACGATATTGATAAGTACTTGTGTTCATTACTATTAGAGACACTAGATATATTTTTATGAAGATGGCGTTTGTCCAAACTTCATGCAAGAGAATGGCCTGTTTATTGAAATGCCTCAATGTTAGACAACTTTCCAACGCTAGCCTGTCCCAGGAGAAACATATTAAAAAGTCAGTGTTTATATCTCAATCTAGTGATATTTACACCAACTTGGCGCTAGAAGAATGGCTTTATCAAAACTTTGACTTCAAACACCATCATATTTTGTTGCTGTGGAAAAATGATCCATCTATTGTTATTGGAAAACACCAAAATCCCTGGACTGAAACCCGATTTTCTGATTTACAAAACGTTGAAAATGAAGTCAGTTTGGCCCGAAGAAGCAGCAATGGGGGAGCAGTGTATCAAGATAACGGAAGTCTGAATATGAGCTTTTTTTCAACAAGGGACCAGCATGACCCAAAGTACAATATGGAAATTATTGCAAGAAGCATTTTTAGAGAATTGAATTGCTCGGTTAAAACTGGACGTGAGGATGGACTCTTTTTGAGAAGCAAAGTATCCTTTTTTAAATCAGCAATTATTTAATCATTTTGAAAATATATGGTTCCCTCCTGTTGTCTCAGGAGTAGACATTTTCAAGCATGAGCCTAGTTTTTACATAATTTGGTCTTATTTTCATTCAAAATTGAATAGAATAGACAGGTCGTAATTTTCAAATATATTCCGTACTCATCACAAAAATCAGTGCTTCCTTAACATTTTTGCCAGAAAATATCAAATGAAGCAGTGAAATTAGGCAAGGAAAATTGCTACCATAACATGTCGTTGATGGTTGCATCAAACAAAGTAACCCGCAATATGGTTATTCCAAAGCATGGCAATGTGAGTTTACAGATTTTATTATTTGGAACCATTTGATTTTTGTTCGAATTTAATCACACAATTTCTTTACCAGAATGTAGTAATAATCCAAAAGGGTACACGCTATCTACAGCTTCATTCCTTGTTCACATTTATCTGTAACCCTTTCAGCTTAAAAGCTGAATAATGCACATTTTAGGTATACATAATAAATTGAGTAAAACAACATAATTATCCAAAATATGCATTATTCGCTTTATTATGTATTTGTTACATCTCCAGATGCCGGTAGCGTCCAAACATAAAATCGCCAACTCCATTTTTATAGGTTTAATTTGAAATTCAATTCTTGAAAGCAGAGTTAAGTATTCAATTTTTAAGGCTTCATTGAATTTGTTACCACAAATATTTAACATTTTCATCCAATTTTGTGCAGATTTAATGTGCATGATAAAATTAAGGATTGAAAAGTTGGAAAAGAACAATGTGCAATGTTATTTTTCAGTTATTTAATATACAAATACGAATTGCGGCCGATACAATAAATTTGTTAAATTCTTGAGTTTGTCTCAAAATAATTGGGAAGAAGGAAAGAGGCAAACGGAAAATAAAATATAGTAACAGAATACCAAATTAAAATAATTATTTAAATCCATAAAAGTGGATTAGTTCTATATTATTAGGCAACATCGCATTCCGTTTAGATTTACGTTATTAAATTCTCATCAATTTTAAAGCGTTTTCGATATCAGTTTGGTTTATTGTACGAACATCGTTATTTCACCATCAACAAAATAGGTTTATTAATAAAAACCTCGGTTCCTTTTATCATAGAAATACATTATGACTTTGAAACAGTGTCGAATTTAAAAAATAATTCCAGAAATTTGTCTTTGTACCTTGCAGTCGGTTAATTTTCCTGTATATCACTAAGTAATTTATTTCCTTTAATCCAACAATCTTATGAATGAACGATGTTGATTTGAACTTATTATGGAATTTAAATTGATCACCACCATGTTTTTGTTGAATTTTTCGTCCAGTTCATTATATAACGAAAAACGTTAAAATTCCATATTCACGTTTTTCGATTTTTGTGGATATTATAACATTATTATTATTATTATTATTATTATTATTATTATTATTATTATCCTCTTTTTTGTTAGGTTCTTTTTCACATTTTCATATCTATAAATATTTTTGGAGCGCTTATTTCTAAATAAATTACCTGAGTAGCCAATCTGCTGTGTAGTTAAAAATAAGGCACTGGAAAATAATTCATTTTGAAAGGATCATGTTTAAATATGGTCAATTACTGTTTTAAAAGTTCATAACTCTTTATCTTCTGCATTAAGTGCAACTGGTTTAGGGCTAGATTTCCGTCGAAAACATCCGGTTATTTCTCCATTAAGAACATTGTTAAAATTCAGATATATATACATATTAGCTGGGCATTCTCACAACGCGAAGTTAAATTTGGCTTTTTAGGAAGCTTCAATGTGGTAAATTTCTCATTATTTTATAATTAACTTGTAGTTTTTATCAATTTTTGTCATATCGTAAACCGGAAAAACTCTATATATAAAATAAATCAAAACATCGTTGAATGGTTAATCCTTCCACATTTTAAGCTTATTGTCTTTACTTTGATCTATTTGTTCCGTAGACGGCAACATAACGGATCAGGGCCTCATCAAATTTCCCCCCTCATAACTCACAATTTATTATTCCTCCACAGGACTAAAAGTTCTAAATTTGTTCGGAAATATTACTTTACTTTTGAAAAATAATCGTCTATCAATTTCTGATCATTTCGCTACATTACATATGGGATTTATTTACAGGCACCTAATATAGGAGCGATCGGAACCAGTACTTCACCCAAAATGATGAATGTATGTGAAGAGAATCCAACTGCGTCTGTATCATGTTTAACAAAAGCGGTTGGCTGGGAATTTTTAAGAACAAGAGCACTTAACTTGGTAGACGGCGGAATGGAACTGGCTCATCAACAGAAAGGATTCCATCTAATTAACCCAACGGATAAGTGGTTTCCTGGTAAGCACTGTCAAAGCATTGCAAAGTTTGAATATAATCTCATTGTAAGTGGGGCTAAAATATGGGCCCTGAAACTCACTAATCTATAAAAAAATCATTAAAAAAAATTCGATAGCCAAGTTTTGTTTTTTGAAAGGTCATATGTAAAGTTCTGCGAGGTTGCTGCGTATTTTGTTTCGTTATAATATAAATATTAGTTCAGATAATTGTTGCGGACTGGGGTCAACTAGAATCTTATCCAGACTGTTGTTTACTGCGTGAGCAGACTTTTCCACTTCTATTATTTATCAAACTTATACATAAATAGTTCTAATGTGAGTAGTAAAAACGTTTTTTTGTTAGGTTTGAATGAAATACGGAATAGGTTTAGCAGCTGGGATTGGTGTTATGGCGCAACACCAAAGTTTGACATAACACAATCGTTCACGGTGCCTGGGCCACTTTTGCATGGCAATGCTGGTGCTTCATCGACTTTGAATGTGACAATGACGGTGGAAAACGGATTAATCGCAGAAATTGCTCTCCATATGCCATTTGAACTTAATTCGCTTGGTTTTATGGGAGATCCCAAAATTTTCCACACTTTGAAGGGGAAAAGATTTTCAGTTCAGGCCTTTGAGGACCTGGAGTACTCTTTAGATAGTCTTTTAGATGACAAGCATAGGTTTGTAACAGAATGCGTGAAGCAAGTTATGACCTGTGCTTAATGTTCTCGTAAGTGGTTCTTCCGCTCCACGTTTTAGAACTATTTTTATATTTTTTATATTGGCACATTAGACCAAATTTAGAAGCATAGCTTGAATCAAAGTCGCATTTTAAGCATATTTTTGGATGTAATTAGCGTTTTAATATAAAAAATACGTTGACTTCTTGTGTGACAAGCGATAAGTTTAATTATGCGAGCTGCTAATTCTCAATTAATGCTTTATTTCAAAGCCTTTCGAAATATACTGATTTGATGTTTATGTTAAGTTATTTTGGTTTGAATAATTATAAAATGTAATTTAAGTTTGAACCGTACTATACGCTATACGGTTTTCAAGAATTGATCATATCACTATTTTTAATTGTGTTTATTTGTATATGCTTAGTTTTGGTTATATTAGATTATTTTACTTTGAATATTGTTTTGCCGATGTTGTGCCTTATCGATAATTAATTTAAGTATTTGTCTGTGTTTGTTATTTTGTTGACTGTTATGTAGGAATGTGGAATAAATGTTTTAAGCTTTCTTCTACCTTCTTTCTTTGAAACCTTTCTTCCACAAATTAGTAATTTTTTATTTAATTATGCAATCTGATATCAATCTGTCACATACGCTTATGACTAATTAGCGACTGTTATTTGCGCATACATGAATACAATCGAGAAAATCATAAACTATTTAAGAAGATAATTTAAGCCAAGAAGTTAATCCGAAAATATTGCGGTTCTAGTTTGGGCGCAATTGCGCTAAAGTATGCTACAAATAAATGTACTTTTTTGTGTGTTTATAATACCATAGGGGAAGATAGGACTATCGGAAAAGTTTTGGACATATTGTACTAATCGCCCAAATATTAGTTTCAGGGTGAACCTAATTTTGCAAAGGCGGGGCCACGTAAGTAAATACACTCATTTTCACAGACGCTTACGAAAACCTGCTATTGTCATTCTTGCAAGATTCTCAGGAAGGTGAAGATAAAATCATCAGGTAAAGTAGGAGCTATACTGTCTATATAATCTATTTTCTTGTTCTAATATAATTAGTAGTTTGTAGGCCTGGGTATCACTGGATTAAGTTGCGCTTTTGCGTTGACGCCGCTGTGTGAGTTGATGAGTTATAACTCACTGCCCCTCACTGCGCCGCACCTCAAATTACGCTTCTGGTGGAATAATTTTTGAAATCAGAACTTCTAAGACATTTTAAAATAGTTGAAATTTCGTTGGTTTCTATCATGGCTCGGAAATTAAGCAACAGTTTCATTTTTAGAAAGTCAATATCTTTAGAAAAACAAAATTAATTCTGTTATTAATTTTAGTTTTGGCGTTGTGCATTAATCACTGCAGCTGAGTGAAATGAAACAAATTGGCCCTAAATTTAAAATTAAATTAGTGAAAAATCGGCACTTGGAGCGCTTTTCGTTTAGTTGCAGTTTACCTTCGTTAAGTGGGAACGTGAAATTTGCCTTTGTAAATATTGTCGTGCGAACAGGCACTTTTTACAAAAATGCCAACAATAAACAAACTGAAATCGAACTGCCAAGTAAAGCATGAATCATCGAAAGGGCGAACAATTAAATGATTAAATAATCATGTTTATTCTGTAGTTCGGTGTCGTTTTTTCGCGAAAAGTGTATGAATGTTCAGTTTGTTACCAACAGTAGACGAAATCAGTCAATAATCGCATTATTAGATGGGTAATATAGAGTCATTGTGGCTCTTATGGCAAGTGCGGTAATTTGTGACAGTGTAGTTAACTTGTTGAGCATTAATGGGCAGAAAGTGGAGGATGGGCCAGCGTGCAAAAACTTGGTAAGAATGACCTCTAATCCATAAATCTTTTAGCTTGAACTGAGTTTAGTTTTCCGACAAGCAACTGAAGTTTTATGGATTCTTTAAATTTTCTTCTTTTTGATTTGCTAATGTGAAATAAGGTTGGCTTTGGATTTTCCAGTTATTAAACACTTTCTTCTTTCGTTCCAGGTGTCACTTTGCAGCTTTCGGTAAGATTAGCATTACTTTTCCCCTGGTTGCCATATAAAGGGTGTTTCCTCATAAGTTGACCCCCCCTTATATCGAATATATATAGCAAAACTCAAATCTGAATTTAAAATAAAAATATGAAACACGGAAGTGTAAAAATTTGCATAAAGTCTTTTTTCAATGAAACACCCTATATAATTTTAAACATACCAATAGGATTTTTTTGCATGATTTCAAAAATATATATTTGCCTATATTTATATTAGCGGTTTTTCCTATATTACGTTTAAAATTATAAATAGCAACAAATCAGAGTAGCCTTGAAATTCGACAAGGCCCTTTCTCCACCCCATAACGTTCGCCCGACAGCACTTTTTTAAAATAAAAATGTTGATATATATATGTAGCTCGGACGAGCGGGTCCTATCCAATGGCCTCCAAATAGCACCGACCTAACTCCTATTAATTATTTTCTCTGGGGTTATTTAAATAATATTGTGTGTGAGACTCTAGTTAGACGCCTTAAAGTAGTGGATGCAATTAACGATATTAATATTAATCATTACCAATATATTCAAAACGTTATCGATAAAATTGAAGTAGGTTAATAAATATATAGAGCATGTCTAGCGTTAAACGGAGGTCATATATAAAATCAGTGATTCTGTTTTTATTTATTTCTTGTTTTGACATTTATAGTCGCCATAAATTCCATTATGTTGTGTTTCTATAGTTTTTGTGTCATTTTAGACTACTTTAGTTTGTTGCTATTTAAAATTTTTAAAACATAATACGGAGAAAACGGCTAATACAAATCTAGGCAACATACAAACATTTCTGAAATCAGGAAAACAAAATCGAATCGATCTGCCTGTAAATATATAGGGTGTTTCGTAAAAAAAAGCTATGTCAAATTTTGATATTTCTATATTTTATATTTTTCTTTTAAATTCAGATTTAATTAATTAAGCTCATCTGAAGCTTTTCGCTAAAGAACCGCTTCAGATATGGAAATTTGGGTTCCAGTATTCAATACAATTAGTATCAGCTTACTGCTATTGTGGATTTGGTTCCGATTAAATCGTTGATTCCTTCACAAGAAATTTTTAAACTTTGGGAATATTTTGGAAGGTTTTGTATTTTTGGCAAGCGCGTCTCCAAAGAACTGTTTCGGATAAGCAAATATGGGTTTAAGTTTTATATTTTTTTTTTGTTAAAAAAGTCGAGAGTTTCAGCTTTTCCTGTTTTAGAAATTGCGAAATCGACTGAAACATGACGCCACATTTTTTTCCACAGAGTTTGTTGTTATATCCTTGGATAGATAACTGGTAATTCTATTCAGTTATAACGTGCGTGAGTAAATTTTGCTGGATTTTTCACAAAAAGTCACACGAAATTTGAATGTCAGACATTGCAGACGATGCGTTCATTTTCAAATCAACATTTACGCAGCGCCCAAAATTCAGGATTTCTTGCGATTTGTATGAACTTTGCAACAGACTTAAATCGTTACGAGGCCCGGGGCTGGAATTTCAACGCCTCTAACAAAAAAAAAGGTCACCCCATTTTTAGGAGCAATTTTACCAAATGAATGAAACGCAACTGCGCCGGCTAGTTACTGTGCCGCAGTGCAAGCCATTTAGGCAACACTGTGTCAACTCCTGAAAATTAACTGAGTTACACATGCCTAGTAGTTTGTACATTTTGTGTTTTCTTTTACACACTTGCAATGAAAGTCCTCAGTATCTATGCATATGTCCCAGTCTTGTAATGTTGTTGTGATTCTATTTACTTAAACAGGTCAAATTGCACTGCTTGTAAATATTTAACCTTAAGTTACACACTTATTCTAAAATTGAAACACCCGTACGTTTTCAGAATAAATGGTCTCAAAACGTCTTTCGACGATAAACTTGATTTTTTAAAGTAATATACATCGGTAGAGGGAATAACGATAGACAAAAATATGATGCGGTTAATACAATACCTCAACAAATTTTAAAGTTCAAAATCAAGTCGTTTGCCAGCATTGATACATTTTAAAGTACTGCCGCCACGCGTTTGTGCTGAACTTTGCACTCTTTATTTTTTTCTGATTTAGTCTAATCAAAATGCGTTAATATTGCGAAATGTTAGCCGATAGGAAACGGGTTATCAGAATTAAACTCTAATTGGTTTCCATTTTTGAAGTTCTATTTATAGAGAAAGCATTTCCTTTGATGATGTGTTTTTTTGCGAGTCGCATCGCAATGATTGCCTAGTTATCGAAAATGCTTTGCATTTTACAAACAGCAGATTGGTAGAAATTCAAGTGAATCGATAGATAACAGCATTCATTACGATACAGTCCATTCAATGAACCGACATATTTAAAAACAACAATGCAACAACAAACAATATTTATTTTTTCGTTGGTCTTTGGGCGCAACTGGAATTGAAGAAACATCATATTTCTTTCGCTTCCGAAGGAAAGCGATAGTTTGGTGCACTATCGCACTGCAGAACTTTTCATTGATGCAATAACTTAAAAAATATTTTAACCTACACTTACATTTTTTATTTAGCCACGCGATCTTTAGTGCCAGGTTCTTCTTTATTATTTTTTTTTCGAAGCAGACATTTAATATTGGCCCACCAAAGCGGTTTCCATTGTTTAAGGGTTCGACTCGATAATAAACGGCTCAGTTTTTTACAAAAACTGTGATGTCACAAGTATTTTATTAACTTATCGTTACTAACTCAAATGCCTTTTTACAAATGAACTTGTGGGCAAGTAGACCATCTAGAAAAAGAAAATACTAAATTTCTCAGGGCATATTTGTAAATGTCGGCCAGATACCCGTTGTGCAATTTGCGGCCAGACACAAATGTGCAAAGATTGAGTTCATATCTTCAAAAAACATATCAATACTTTCACTAATAGGAAACAATAAAAATGCTTTTCTCAGGACAATATTTTACTCACAAATAAATAACATTCTATCTTTGAAATTTAGAAGTCACTTAAAGTTATGGTAACCTAATCTAAGGAGAATGTCTTATGGGAATTAATTTAAAAATATATAAGACTTTTAGCTGTGCAACATACCTCGTATTCTCACATTTTTTTGTCATAAATAGAAAAACAACTTTTTGTGATTTTACATAGATCACATGACCACATTTGTAATAACTAGAACCATACCTATATGTATAATGGGTTTAGGTCACAGGATAGAACAATCTCTTTATATATACTCTTTTAAATAAATGGTAGATAGTGTTTTCGGAAACTTATTAATCTCATTAAATATATCTACTACTTGTACAGATATTACACACAATAAAAGAGTTACACATATTTATCTATTGCATGGAACTATATTTTTAATAACCCTGTGTATCATCATCCAAACTTCCACACTATGAAAATTGAAGCAAAATACTAATTTCGCGTGGTTCCGTTTTAAAGCCGAACTATAGAGAAAACAACAAAGATTATTTGTTTACGAACTTATAAAATAGATATAATTTAGCATACAAATTCTAATCAACCAAAAGGTTGTCAAATATAACTCTTCTGCTTCATAATTTATTTTTATCTCATTTATAGAATTAAATTGTATTTATATATGTAAAGTTTACTTGATAACAATTTAGAAATTTACAATACTCTCCCTAATCATAATATACTTGGTAGACATGGCTGCAATTGTACAATAACACGATATAAAACTAAAGTTAGATGTAATATAGTAAAATACTTTGAAAAATTGGTACGATTGAAAGACGCACATGAGGTATAAAGAGAATCACAACACAGTATCTAGCGTTTCTAAGGACTTAATATATCTTTCGTCTCTCGATATCCATGTTATCATCTCTTCTATGGTAATCACCCCATCTTTGTTGGCATCTATAAGCTGAATTAGAAAAATTAGCAGTTTTTAATAAGTGATTCAAAATAGGTACATGCTCTACAAACTGGTGCCTCCTCATTTTTCAATAAAAAGTTTTTCCTCAAAATTATAGCAGCCTTACAAAGTAGGGTAATAAGTATTCGATTATATGGGAATGGAAAGTTTACGAAATATTTGTGTTAAAATATATATTCAGGTCGAACGAACATGCATACGGGATATAAGCAAATTAAATAAAAATACTGTATTCCTTATCTTTAAATACACTTTTGCCGAATTCATCTTGGGCATTCTAATTTTTTACATGATTTTGTTAGAAAGAAAAATATATTCTTTTGTATTCATTTTTTTCATGGATTTTTCAACACTTTTCAATTAAATGTCTTTACTTTTGTCTTTTGTCAACCTGTACCATGATTTACTTTATCGAAATATTAGTGGAGAAAACTGAAACTGATATTTAATTGCAACAGGCCAATTTTTTTGAAAAGTGCAAAAACGTGCGCTACAAATTTCATTTTGATAGCTGTACTATTTTCACAATATTTTTTTTGCTTCTATGAAAAAGAAATAAACCTTTGTATGGTTGACTTGCTTGCTATCTAATGGTATGTCTAAATTTAACGAGCCGAGCCCGAGCCGCGGCAAAATTCCATTGATGTTTCGTTAAAACACCGACAGACAATTCATTTTCTGTATGTGTTTTTATGATAAATCAAAGAAAGACATTTGCCGCGGATAAGGCTCGGCTCGACGCGGCATAACGTTTATACTAAATTAATATTTCTTTCAACCAAGGAATTTGCTAGAACCACCATAAAATGTTGCCAGTTTGTTTTAACACACACTGTATAACATTAGTATAGAAAGAAGCAGGTCATGGATACAATCATGTGTATAATATTAGTTTTTATATGAAAAATCGGTTTTGTTTTTCCTTATTGTATACCTACACAAAAACTTTTACACGGTATTGCCTTTTTCATTTAAAGAACTACTTAACCGTTACTACTTGCTATATAATTAAAGCTAATAAAATATTACTTTAATGTAATATTTACAGAATAATTAATTAATCTCGTAAATAGATTAAATGCAATTTCGTCGTTTAAAGTTATGTTAATGTTTTGTTTCGGATATTTGGGATGTTTTAATTAACGAAAGTATGTATGCTAGATTTTAAAGTGTTATTGGTTTGTTCTTTTCTTCAGAGATATACATAGAAGTGTTTGTTTACAAGAAGTAAAGATTAGTATGAGGTTTTTTTGGGCAGATAGTGAGCAATTAAATTTTAATTGGAAAATTTGGACAAAAATCGGAAAATACATGAAAACTGTGACAAAAAGGCAATGTGTAGAATACACTTTTTCGCTATATGAACATATAACAATATGAACAGAATTGTCTATGGAAGTCATTAGAATAGGTCAACTAAAGCACACCAGGCCCGAAGTTCTTCTGCTGGGGCTGCATTTAAACGCTCCTTAAAAGTTAAGCTCTGCATCTGCTATAAATCCGGACAATTTAAGAAAATTATAGACATGTTTAATATAACTTTGAAAATATGAGGAACACCATAAACACACTATTAATTGCGGGACTTACCTGGAAGATTCTTTCAGCATGTTCTTTAGCTGAATTGTCGTTCACTGCCGGTTGCGTGGCATGACCTGCGAAAGAAAGTTCTTTTTAGACAACATAGAATTTTGCAACATTTGCTTTTAGGTGCGGTTACTGTTACAGTTATTGGAAACTTAAAAATGGTAATATGTTTTTACATTTTCAAGTTTTATGTATTTTTAAATTATAAAGTGTGTGGGATTATAATGGAATGAATACCTTCTTAATTGTATAAAAACATGATGATACAAACACTACATTTTATTCTAATATCCAACCTTATTCAAAATACAATAAACGTTAAAAATGATGAGAAACTTGTGAAATGACGCGTATTAACACTAATACTAATAATAGTAATAATCAAGAAGCAAAAACTGTAGAGTTACGAAAAAAATAATAATAGTGACTGAATCATTAAAAATTATTTTTATTTAGTTTTAGCAGCCTTGGTTTGCAATACATACCGGGTGTCAATTTGAAAACTTCCCGCCCTTATTATCTTTCTTGCAGTTGAAAATATGAAAAATCGGAACGGCCTGTCAATTTTATTTGTAAGGGGGAGGCTTAAAATTAATATTTTTGGCCTCCTAATTTCAACCCCCTAGGACGGGTAGATGTCATTCTTAGAATCTTAAATAGGAAGGGGAGGTCAAGTGGCGCATCGTTTTAAAGGGCGTTCAATTCTTTTTACAATAGTTACTACTTTGTTGCTATTTGTTTAGAGGTTTTCGAATAATCGCGTTTCAAAGTTGTAGAAACAATTAAACTTGCGTGCATTCAGATATTGGTTTTCAGGTTAGTGTTTACACACTAACGATTGTATACGCGATTGTATACACTGATAAAATCGTTGAATAACGAGAAGACAATGTAGTTTAAACATTGATATATTATTTTTGATTTTGATCTTATTTCTTATTTATTGATTATTTTACATCGACAAAAATAAATTTTGATTTGCGGAAGAGAAATTTCTACAATAAAACCTATATCACCTAAAGTATCACCTATAATAAAGTCTGTTTCCAAACTCCCCCCTAACTTTTCGGAACACTTTACCGGCAATTGACCGGTATTCTGCTGCAATTCGCTTTTTAAGAGCATCAATACAGCAGGTTGTATTTTGTAAATAATGGACTTAAGACGTCCCCAAAGAAACAAGTCTAGGGGTGTTCAATCCGGTGGTCTTGGAGGCCACTCAATTTGCTCCCTTCTGCCAATCGATCTATCCTGGAATATCTTATCAATGTTAGGGAGGGTTCGAAAATAGTCTTTATTTTTTTAACTTTATTTGAACTGAATTATTTGAACAACTTACAAGATAGTGCGTAAGTAGATCCCATGGGTTTTATTGTTGAAATTTCTCTTCCGTAAATAAAAAGTGGTTTTTCTCGAAGTAAAATAATCAATAAATCCGAAATCAATTGTTTAACCTACATTTTTTCCTGTTATTCAACGATTTTACCACTTTATCCTACTCTTCTAATCATCTGTATTACAAGGAGACCCAATACAATTTTTGTTGTGTAAACACTAACCTGAAAACTGAATCTAATCTGAATGCACGCAAGTTTAATTGTTTCTACAACTTTGAAACTCGATTATTCGAAAACCTCTGAACAAAAAGCAACAAAGTAGTAACTGATGCAAAGATAATTGAAAGCCCTTTAAAACGATGGGCCACTTGACCTCCCTTCCCATTTAATATTCTAAGGGTGGGATCTACCCGTCCTAGGGGGTTGAAACAAGGAGGGTAAAAATATGAATTTAAAGTGTCCCCTTACAAATAAAATTGACGGGCCTTTCCGATTTTTCATATTTTCAACAGCAAAAAAGATATTAACCGTTGGAAGTTTTCAAATTGACACTCGGTATAAGTACATATCTCAAGTATAAAGCAAATTACGAAAAGATGTGGCAAAATACGTCAATAAGAGGTACTTTTACGACTGGTCGCTAAATTGGTCGCCTATGACCTTTATTTTTTCATCATTGTGTTAAGAAACCAAAGCTAATTGTTTTCTAAACGTCCAACATTTAACTACGGTAAGTTGATTTTAATATACTTTAAAGGGAAAAAATTTGAAAATCAAAAAGCATAGGGACGAGTGTGAATATTGAATTTTAGAGTGCAAAAATGCACATTGCATTTTTCAATGCACTTCCATAGGATATTCACATGCCCAAACGAAATAGACTGAAAATAAACAAATAACATCGCTGGATTTTATGCGTGAATACTTTGATCGGCAAATATCTAAAATCGATATTTTTGCATTTGTTTTCCTGTTCTACTACAACAAAGCGGACCCTAAAGTAAATAGATTTTTTATAGCGTGATGTAAATAAAGCAGATAGATCTTGGGAATCTAAAGTGATACCCATTTAAGTCGAATACATTTCCCAGTAGTAGCGTGTCGGTTATTAGATTTTGAAAAAAATATGTAAGTTCGCGTCGATTTTTATGTATGGTTTTCAATTTAAGTGTTAAAATATAAAACATTTTGTGTCTGAAAGTGTGTGCACCATTTTAAAAATAACTGCAGGCGATTAAAGGTAGTAATAGTATACATATAGTGACACAAAAATTCAAATTCAAATGGGCTAAGAGAAATTGCTTAACTGAATTTGTTACAGCGGTTTACTATATTCTTCTTAAGTTTTTTCTTAAGCGAATTTTTTTAATAGTTGAATAATTTTTAACATAAAGCGAAAGTCCCCCAAGTTTGTTATTTAATCTAAAACTAAAATTGTTTTAGAGCCATTATGGTTTCTGGATCTTCGGAACAATCTGGACTTCGCCGGTTGTCACAAAGTGAGTTGAATACTTCTTGTAAGTTACGTAGTTAAATCCAGCTATTATTCGAATTGTTACCATAACTTGTACTTCCGGAATTTTGTGACGAATTCGCCCTCAGTCTCTTTATAAGTTTTACAAACAATTTGTACTTTTTGAGAATTAGTTAAATGTTATAACTATGGCTTTTCTACTGGCGATTTACAAAAAAATTATCGCTCAGGAAAAGGGTAGGAAAATCAAATATTTATTACAAGAGCATAGCTTAATCTTTTGCATTTAATTACCACTGTTTCCTTCTATTTAATATTGTCATACGAGTAGATGGGCACTCATTTGGAAAATTTTCCCGCTGTTTTCTCGTAACTGATCCAGGTTTATTTCTATTTTCACTAAATAACATATTTTGGATGTTTTCGTTAAAGGGCGTTTACTATGAATGGAATACTTTTATTTAAAGATTAACTAACAATCGTTAACGAGAAAATGCGTATTGTTGTTCTCAGTGAGCAAATATGTCAAACACTTTTAGTGACTTTGAAGAAATATTTACATGAAACTAAATTTATTGAGAATGTATATGTTCTTGTCTTGTAATAAGGTTGTAATTTTTTTAATGATTTTGGAGATAAAGTGTTTTGATAACAATATGATTCTCCAATTACTCGGTTTATTGTCCATTGCAGAGATTTATCGAAAAGTATCGCCGTTGAGTGTACTTGAGGTGTGATTGAATTTCTAACTGCTTTTAATCAAACAAGCCAATTTTGTGAGCAGGAAATGAAATGAATTTGTCCAGATCATCAGTATTGAACGCTATTCGCTTTTTCTTTTTTTTTAGACATAGTTGGACATGGTCAAACGTTGAACTTTACAAACCAAATCTCGTAAAATTTACTGTAATTAAGTAATTGGGCTAACAATCCTCTAACAACTTATTCAACTATTGTTAAATTAAGTTATTAAAAGAGACAAGTGACGGGTTGTTGTGACAAAAAAATATTCAGCATCTACAGAGAACAAAAAAAAATGGTATACCATACAGGGTATCTCATACAAAAAAAATAAGTTACCCGCTGTACCTCACTTTTAAGACCTGAATATAAATTTTAAATAGCAATTTTTTCTTTTAGAAAGGTCAACAAAGCTGCTCCACTCTTGTCCAAATAGATGTTCGGCAGAAATGTAATGAATTTGTTTCTTTGCTTGCTTTCGCATCAAAAACTTAACCTAAATTAATAATAATTAATTAAATAATGAAAAAGTATACTTTCATGCACGTTACTTGTTTGTTAAATATTTGAATGAGATATTTTATAATAATAATTTAAAGAGCAGTTATTTTAGAATCTACTGATTAAGTTGCGATTTTCTTCCATCAACGAGACGATTATCTGAATATTTATTTTGCTGGTTCAGAAAGTACCATATTTCTTTTTATTTACACTTCATAATTGATCAATTTTGAAAGAGATTGTTTCAGTGCATTCAAAGTAGAAATTTTGGGTGGTTTATTTCTTATATCATCTCCTTTGACTTAAATTAATTTAATGCTCTGAAAACGTATATAGGGACTGTGTAGTACAAACACACATTTAGAAAAAATATTACATTTCTGAAACGACATTAAAAACAGTGGTTAATAACAATATTCTAAATACAATTCACGAAACTAAAGCAACAAATCATACTAGCAAAGGTTTCCTCTCCCGTTCCTCGGCTCTGTTCGTTGTATTTACCTTTGCATCCAAGCTGGTAATAATCATGTTCCGCTCTTGGAGATAGAGCTTTGTCTGAGCATCAAAGCCCGTCCCTGAAAGTTTCGCGCCACTGAGAATATTCCAGAGGCAGCGTCGCATTACTTTCTTTCAAAAATTTTGCTTATTTTTTTAATTTTGTCAGTAAGAGGGCCACTTCTGTAATACTTCAGAGAGATTTACTCTTATACTGCATATGTAAGTCCTGATGTTTCTCTTGAGTAGTTCAAATATTTCTGAGTCTCATTTTACAATCTAGGATTTGATTGAATACTGTCTCCGTCATTCTCATTCCGGAAATTTTCTACATTTGCGCTTCATCATATTTTTAGAAAATCTAGCAGTGCACTTTAATGAATGACTGCTGTTATTGCTCCTTCTCGCCGACATCTCTCATGTGTTTCATATATTGCGCTTGTATAGTTTGGAGCTTCACTTCTTTTTATTTATAGTTTGTTCTTGTTTTTTGAGGTTGTTTGATATTCCTGCTTTTTCTCTCTTGGCTTTCAAAACTTGGCTGTTTATTTCTGATCCTGATGCCTGCCATTCCCAACTCATTTGATCATTTAAATTAAGGCGCAACTTTTGGACCTTTGCATACATTTAATTGTAGACTCGTCTTGAATTCTGTCTTAATACTGATTTTTCAAAACTAGATCACATTAGTTGCTTTAAATGTCAATAGCAAGCAATATCAATTTCCCGTACTACAAATTTTCTTTTTGGCAACTGTGGTTTAAAATCAATTTTTTTCAGAAGTTTTCTATGCTCCTTAAGATAGCCTTTTAAAAACGCCTTTTGATATTTAATTATTATTCATATTTTCCTGGGCAACTAAGGATTTTATCATCTAACATAAATAACTGACTGATAAATTATTTTTATAGGAAAAATCTTAAGTTCTAAAAGACGTAGAACAAGCATTTTAAATTTCCAGTTTTCGACTTGACACAATCCATTCTGTTGTTGCTACTCCGTTGAATGGTAATATTAATTGGTTATCTTCTCTTAGCGTATTATCATCCAAGTAAAACTCGGTTATTTGGCCTATTTGACTTGGTTACAAAATTAGTACCATGTCAGTCGCTGCAGTTCTTTTTTACCTTGATACTTACCGAGCATTTCATAAATGCTAGTAGTGATGTCCACTAATTCAGATTTGCTGATCGTGCCATCTCCGTTTAAGTCATACAGACCAAAAATCCATTGAAGCTTCTCTTGAATTGTTCCTCTTGATACTTTGGACAGAATGTTTAAAAAGTCCTGAAACAAAACGTATTTTCTAGAAATGTTGTGCTAGTTATTTACAGCTTAAAATGAGCTTATAAAATACAACTGCATCGGGATAAAAAATTACTCTCTAGGTATTTGAAAACAAGTTAGTTAAAAGTTTTATTATTTACTTCTACCTTGCTTTACTATGCCTTAATTTTATTGTTCTTCTTAATGTAAGTGTTCCTCAAAGGCTTCTACTATTTTCTTGATAAAAACAAATGATGATACGAATTGCGTCTCATCTCGAATAATAAAAAGTGGTATACAAGAAACTTTATATATGTTGCCAGCCAGTATTGTTTCCGATTTGTTAGATTTTAATTTGCTATCAAAGTTATTGTGACTCTTTTGATAATCTTGGAAACAAAAATAATAACGGACTATTTAATTTTTATGACCCTCTACCGAGTAATCTGTTAATTACTTCTTATTGCCGTTTTTTGATCCACAGGTTAATGTTGGTTCTTTTCACTGACTTTATTTCCTTTGGAGTATATGACTTGTTTCTCTAAAAGTGTAGCTTTACTTAAAAGAAGGAAGATTATAGTAAAACCGTGGTTGAACGGGCAATAAGAAAATTATGAAAACTGGACACCGTGAACATGGTCCAAACTGAGCCGTTTAATAGCAAAACTAATGATAATATTCCTGTTTTGCAGTTATAATAAGCGCTTTTAATATTGTTTTAGTTTAAAGCTTAATTTTTGGAAGAAAATTGACAGCAGAAGTCTTGATTCGCCCAATGAGGAAAACACCAAGCGATGTTTTTTATCAGTTTTTCGAAACCCTCTGTTCGTTGCCGTCTTAATTAAAAATCTCCTATTGAACCTGCGCTTTTTTCGTAAACTCACGCTGTTTCTGAATCATTGCCTTATCTGAAAAATATCTTATTGGGTTCAAGTAAAACGGTAATGCTCAAAAAATTACAAAAAACTTTTCATTTTTGATATAACATCTAACCAAAGAATTAAACTACAAATTATAAAACAAAATATGAAAACCGGTTAATTAGTACACCAATTAAAAAAATATTTCAGCAGGCTTTGGTGCGACATCTTTTCCTATTTCACGATTTCACTGAGGCAATGAATGAATTACGACTAATATTTTCACTACAAAGCATTTTGCTCCGTATATTTTGTTGGCCCAATCAACAGCGCTGTTAAGTATTTGAGTGATTGACGTCACCCTGTATATTTATAAGGCACTATGCCCCCTGCAGTTATTAATTCATACAATTTACATATTTAGGACAATAAAAAACTGTATACATAAATTTGGCTTGAAGCCAAATTTTTTAGTACCTCGAACATATAACACCTGGACATATTTAATTGAAGTCGATGAACTAGTGAATGCTTAATTTTTAGGTTTATCAAATGGCCCTCTAAAAGGCTATAAACTACAAACATTTACACCTACATTCCCTGAGAAAGTTCTATTTATATGTGCCTGGCGATTCGAAAACAACCAATCAAACCCACAAATTGGTGGAATAGAGCAGTTCTTTGCCTACTCAGGCGTGATCACTTGAGGATATTTTACAGTATTAGACTTCCCCAATAATAACTGAGCTTTTAATTGACTATGCGCAGAATGAATGTCCGCGGTCCTTCAGATTTTTGAATTTTTATCGAAATAACGCGATATTTCAAGGTGCGATCGGGACCTCATGGACTTTGAAAAAATTAGGAGTTTTTCTCCTATTACTTTTGGTGGTTCAAGTTTAGTTTTGTACTTTGTTGGAGCGGTCGATTTGGTCCGTCTGTTTGAGAGAAATATTTACAATATCGCTCTTGCATGTAAAGTTGGAACATGCGACGCTATTTGTGAAGGCGTAAAATCGAAATGCACTTTGTTTTAATGTTTTGTGTTCTGAAATTCCTTAGAAATAAGTTGAAAGAGTTACGCTTCTCAGATAAAGTCGCTTTTATAGGAACTCTCGGAGCGTTATTCTCGGAACGTTTATTCGAAAATATCAAACAGATTGTTACAAATAAAATTCGCGGAAAATATGCTATTGAACTCTGCGGTCAGTTGTAAGCAAAGACTAATATTCTAGCCGATTCTAACAACGATACTCATGTTCACTACCTTCACATCATATTTTCCGCCATTCCGTTGTAGGCAAATTGAGGACAATGTTACCTTTTGGTTTTAATGAACGTTCCAGATTAGCGAACTATTTCAGAAATAATAATTTGTCAAGCTCGAGTGGCTTGCATCTTCAGGTGGTTTTCTGGGAGCAGCAACCACCTCTCCTTTATCTGTATTAATTTCTCAGTATTTTTGTGAATTCTGCTCAAAATCAGTTGTTAGAACTCTGCTAGACTGTGCAGAAGTCAAAAAACATTAGATCCACTTCCGTTTAGTCCGCCATAGTAAGTAAATTTTAAACACCAGACTTTCCTTGAAAAATAAAGCCCGACGTCGGCATATTCGAGTAACTTTATACGATAGATTATTATTATAGTTTCATACATTTTCCCGATAAGGGTTTTGAAGTTATTATCAGCTGGATAAAGTTACTCGGAGATGAAAATGGTCTCTAGATTCTTGCCACTGACTTTCTCGATAATACGTATTATGTATAAAATGTATTCAGAATAATGAAGTAAATTTTTTAACACTGTTGATCAGGTCACATCATGTTTACTTAAAAAATGTTGATTAGAGCTTTGGACAATTCAGACTTACTCTTCGTACGCACATTACACTTTTTTGCCGCATTTAGCGCATAATCTTCTTGCAATGGCAAATTATTTTGACAATGTAACACCGAACCTGCCATCCCACGGGGGAAAGAACGGCCTGCTAAGCATAACAATAACCATGCGATGGTAGGCATCAAGAGAAAATCTTTGTTATCATTTTTATCCACGTACCGGATGCGAGTTTTTCATTGCTTAAACGTCAGTATTACGAAATTTATTTGCACCGTTTTGAGTAAAACACGCTTTTAAAATGCTTGTAATTTCTAAGTGGTAAAAGCCAGAAGGCAAATTGCACTCGTTAGGGATGATTACGGGATATTAAGGCCTGTATACGGAAGTGATAGGAATACAGGAGTTTTAATTGGAATGCATCGTGTGATTAACATGTTTAAAAAATATGGCCCCCAATTTTTCCTTTGCGGCTAATAGTTACATCTTTTTAAGCCTCCTTTCAAAAGCCCCTAACAAACACATGGAACTACAGCAGCATTTTGTAAAATACAGTTCAGGTACTGCTACTTTTTATTTTGTAAGCGTTCCCTATTTTTTTCTACAGCTTTTAACGCGTTTTATGGAAGTTAATACAGATAATTTTTCTACTACATTTTCTTGTAATTAATATTTTAATAAAACACTTATACATTTTTAAAAACCTCTAAATCCAAATTGATTCATTCTAATTCAATTGATCAAGTGGGCTGCCTGAGTTTCTAATATCATGATCCGGTCCTAAATAATTTATGTAATACGTTTTTGGCGGAATCGAATCACCCTTCATCGATAACGACTTTTTAAGTTAACAACCAGTTGATTTACCGATTCGTGTCTCGAGCATTTATGTAGGTGTGTTTGGTAACAAGTTATAACTTTTTTATTTTTTTTTCTCATTAATCAAGAAACCGAAAGAACTTATAACAACACACTGAAAAGGCAGACTTGATCCTCTCTCATAAATAAGCAAACTTTCAAAGGGCACCGTTCTTATTTTGTGCATACAATAATTCTTCTATCACGCTAACGCTGATTTGAATGTGAATATGATAAGTGAGTGTTAAATTTCGATACTTCATACTGCTCCACATTTGCAGGAAGTATGCCAAATTCAAAAACAATCGGTAAGCAAGAAAATATAATATTTAATAAACATTTTTGGTTGCGCTTTATTATTCGTGTTTTAGTCAATAACATAAATCCTTCAGTACTACCTTTGAAATATCATGGAATAGGATGTATTTCCAGAGAAATATCAATGAACATGAAAACAAAAAAATAAAGGCCCTACACTGTATATAATAGGAGCATATTGAATTTGGTTTTCCATGAATAAAAGAACTAGTCGTTATTATTGATAGCGGCTTAAATTTATTTTATGATTCAAGGTGGCAGATTTTACGTGCCGATAATGCCGTAAGATATTAAAGGTTCCGGAGTTTCCCCTTTAGAAAAGATCATTTTAGATCTATTATAAATAAATAAAAAAGTTCATTTTACTGTGCCATCTGGAGAGAATGGGGGTTTCTAGAGAATTTGCTATGTAATATTGGAATTAAGCGGCCATAATTTAAATTCAATTTTCAGAAATATTTAGCACAGATTGGTGAGTAAACTTATTAACAAGTTTGTGCATATTTTCCTAGTTTTTGTATTTGTCTCAGGTTTTAGCCATTATAGTTCTGTAGTTAGTTGAATATTCGTTTGATATAATTTAAAGCGTTTAAAAAAACAAGTTTTACGAATTTTACAAAAAAATTGACTCATTCTACCTATACGCATGAATAATAAAGTTCCATTTACAGTGCCCACTGTACATGATAGTATTTTTTGAAGGCTTAGTAATATTAAAATTAAACGACCTAAATAAAGGTGAGTTCCCTTAACGGAGACGTTCATTACATGTTCTTAAACAAATTTTATTGTAGTGTGAAATGATTTATGTTAGATGTTTTAAGATATTTTTTTTGACTTACTCTGCTTGCTCAAGTTACAAACTATTTCGGATTTCAGCTGCGGGTTAATTTTAATTTTGACTCTTATTCACAAATCGTTCTAAATCTGCGAAAATAAATGGTGAAAAGTGGCTGCCTGTTCGTACACAAAAAAACATTTGACTGAAAATAAATTGTCATTTAGTATTGGGAGTTAGAAATTAAAACCAAATCAGTTTTCATTCCTTGCCCTGCAGAATTCTTCTCAGAAAAAGCAGTTTTTTAAATCAGTTTTACTTTCCTGCTAACTCTGCAATTAAATATAATCTTTGTTGATCTACTATTTTAC